GCTAAAACGACCCTTTTAAGCAACTAAAACGACCCCATGAAAGGGCTTTTATACTCTTTGAAGGGGTAAAAACGACCCCTTATAAAAAACTACCCTTCGCAATGACTCCAAAATAGGAGCTGAAATGACTCCGCCGAAGAGCAAAAATGACCCCTAGAAAGGGTCATTTAGACTTTTTTAGAGGGTCAAAACGACCCTTTGAAAGAGTAACATTGTGACCCTTTGAAGAGCCAAAATAACTCTTTGTGAGGGGTAGAAACGACCCTTCCGAGGAGTAGCCTCCGAAGGGGCTAAAATGACCCTTTTGAAGGCGTCGTCTTGGGGTCAAAAAAACGGCCCTTTTGAAGGGGTCGAAACGACTCCTTCAAATTTACAGTGTAAGTAATTTTGTTTTCTGCCTTGGCGAAATAGCGAATTGTCAGAAATGTTAGTGCAAATTTGTTACGAATTTGCTTCAGAAAACGCACGAAATGCAGTCATTGAGCTTCAAGAATAGCACAATCGCCTGGCGGAGAACCCCCTCACACCCCTATCATCCAATAAATAGAAAAATCAATTCAAAAGTGCCATTTCACGAAAATCAGCCCCCCCCCCTTGCCTTCACATCGTTCCGGCGTCCCTGATCCAGGTGCTATATTTTAACGTATTTGTTACCAGATTATTATTATGATTATTATTATCGTTACCAATGAGAGGTTTTTTCGAAACTTTACAAAGTATTTGACAGTACTAATTCCATGGATATGCGCTCACATGGTATACTAAAATACGTGATGTGCGTTGAAGCCGATAATATTATAAACCACACCCGCATACTCATGATTGCAAATACATAAACATATTAAACAACATTTTGTCATAGCCAATTATAGACCTTTCTTATATTGACGACAAACGCGGAAAAACACTTAATTCGATGCTCCAAGCCCAAGGACAATTTTTAGCGATATAATTCGCAATGAAAATGATGTTTTTATGCGCGAACAGCAAAATGGGTATACCAAATTTAACCTTTTTAGCTGTTTCGGTATAGCCTATGACCATAGCTCTTTTTTGTCCTGGCAATTCCCGGGGGTATACAGCTATTTCAATTAAGGTGGTCCCCGAGCAAAGCGGAAAAGTCGAAGACGAGCGCGAAAAGTTTGCTAGGAATCGCAGTAAAAAAGCGAAAGGCTTGCTGGAAATCGCTAAAAAATAATTTTTTAGAAATTTAGTGTGATTCCCAGCAAGCCTTTCGCACTCGTATTCGACTTTTCCGCTTTGCTCGGGAACAACCTTAATTGAAATAGCTGTATATGTATGATCTATAATATACATTTGTATATAGGCATGCATGTCGACACTTCCTTGACAAACGTGAAGGAAACACACTTCACTAGCAGAAATATAAGATATTGGCTACACTGACACTCAGTATGCTCACGAAAATACCATAGATTCATATCTTTTGAATAACCAGCTTCAAATATTGCTTATATAAACCACTGAACTGATGTAAACTTGGACGTTTCAAGCGAGATTTCAAGCGTCTGGAGGCGTGAGTTCCAGAAAGTCCTCGTTATATTTTCCGGTTAGATGCATGTAGGGCAGTTTCCCATACTTGACTCACAGGTATTAAAATTCCCAAATATTACTTCGTTCCTATGACGTTACTAGGAGAGGTATTTTCTGAAACTTTTACAGTTCTAAGGAAGCCTTGTGTGAAATGTGTGTTCATTCCAATACTCGAGGTATTCGAGTACTCACCCCCCAGTTGTCTTAGCATGGGCTCACGTGGTATACTATTAATACGTGTCGTGATGTGCGTTGAAACCAATATTACTATAAACCACATCCGCATAATTCATGGCTGCATGTACATAAACAACATTTTACGTGTATTAGTATAAAACAGTAAATTCCACCTACTCATTCATAAAATAATATCGTTACGGTGCGTATAGAACAGATTCGGTTGAGGTTCGTTTACGTTTTTCCTGAAGTATTTTCCGTGTACATTGTGAAGTATGAAATGGTGTCGTACGTCATTGAGTCAGTGGTCATGCACGCAGAATACACTGCCGTCGCTGCTTGTGTTTCTAGTAATGAGGTTTTAAATCATTACTCAGATAGCATTTTTAATAGAATGCAAAAAGTACACACTGAAGTGCTTACAAAACTAGTTTTCTTAATAACCTTACTAACAGCTTAATAAGAGTCAATGGCAGATTTGGTTTGTTAACCTAGCCTGTGTCCCAGTGTGTGGACTGGGACACAGGCTAATTTACTGGCAGTACTCTACCACTGACGAGTAGAATTGTCTGGCGTTTATAGACAGTAAATATTAAAGTATAGGGTGCATTGCCAATAGGTTAATAAGAGACATTGGCAAATAGGTTTGTTAACCCATTTACTGACAGTACTCTATCACTGACATGTAAAATCGTCTGGTGTTACACAGTGTAAAATTGTCTGGCATTAGACAGAGTTAATACTAAAGTAGGGTGCTGAGTGCATTGCCAGCTAATGGGTTTACAATAGAAGAAGGCCTGTTTTGTAAAAAATGTAAATATTTACTAAATTATAACTGTATTATATTTAACAAATATAAAACATTTTCCTTGTTGATATACAGTTATATCAACACGAGTGGAAATTGGGAAAGGGCGAAATGTTTTCACACAATTTCGAGTTTTCCCAATTTCCACGAGTGTTGATATAACTGTATATAAATACGGGGGAAATGTTTTATATTTGTTTTATAATATAGCACAAAGAAACATAAAGAAAGAAATTTTCCGACGCTTCCGTGTTGACATTGAGTTATGTCAACATAGTTTCCCACGCAGCCGCTCTTTGTGGAGGAACGACACAAAGAGCGGAGGAACGACACAAAGAGCGGAGGAACGACACAAAGAGCGGCTGCGTGGGAGACTAATATCACCACGGCTCTTAGCCAATCAGCGTTCAGAATTTACAAATGCTATATTATAATTAAATTGTAATATTGGGAAGGCCGTATGTTAAATAGCTATCATGATTTTTCCACTTTCTTACTGACAAATGGATACTATATACTACAATCTTGAATATGATGCTACGGCAAATTTGCTGCACCGTATTGATTTGCATGTAGAGTGTGGCAAACTGTAGTGGCCATAGTTGACCGCTACGGAAAACCATTCCGTTACAAAAACGTAATAAATTTTTAACGGAAACGGGAAATATTCATATCTTTTGGTTTCAAATATTGCTTGAGGAATTAGAGGATGAAGGATATCGGGAATTAATACAAGCTCTTTTCTGCTACAAGTGTACGGTTGTACTGAAAAACTGAGAAAAATTGAGTCATGTGACACTCAACTTTTTCAGTAAGTTACATTTTTCAGAATCGCTTTAAAGAAATTGGCAAACGGGAATAATTAACTGTAAAAGGAAGAAAGTACTTGATTTGTTTTTTGCTGTTCTAGCTAGGCTAAATAACAAAGCAATTTTCAACCCTATACTAAGCACAAAACATGAGTAAGTATTTGACATGAAAACGAAGCCATTGGGTAAAAGACAATTTCAGTACTCATATAGTAAACTCAAAGATGGAGCTCATGCTGGTAAAAGATGATAACACTCAATCTTGTGACACGCAATCTTTCTCAGTTACATTTTTCGGAATCGCTTTGAAGAAATTGGCAAACGGGAATAATTAACTGTAAAAGGAAGAAAGTTCTTGATCGTTGTATATTCTTCAACACGCCGTTAAAAACCTATATTTTAACACGGTTAGATTTTTGCTCAAAAGTGCAGTGTGAATGCGAAAATCAGTTTACATGTAGGGATTTTGGTGAGGTAGAGTTCTCTTTCTAAAACTTAATCTTCTTCCGAAAACACCGGTAGTAGACTAAAATCCGACTTGTATTAATTGAATCCCAGCCACCTAAAAAATTCAACAAGAATTTCAACGTTCCAAGACCTTCGTCTGGAGGCCAGTAGCATTTGCACGGAGGAGACGAATTATGGCCTTATTCGCTTGAAATGTTGAAAACTCTCGTTATATCAGTTTTTCAAGTTGTTTGACCCTTTAATACCTCAAGACTATTATCGTCCATCGCTACCACATCGGAACTCAACATTCAAGTTCACTCCGATTTAACAATGGTCTTTTTCATCAATAGACCTTACCGATTATTCTCTTTTACCAATGGCCTCATTTCCTGCATGTTAACTTATTTTAGCATTTCAGGCGCAGATAAAGATTATATTCCCATGTTTTCCTGGACATTTTGTTTTTTGCTGTTCTAGTTAGGCTCAATAACAAAGCAATTTTCAACCCTACTAAGCACAAAACATGAGTAAGTATTTGACATGAAAACGAGGTCATTGGGTAAAAGATGATAATCGGTAAGGTCTATTCATATCTCACATTGTTAATCAAAATGTTAGTCTTTTGTAAGACATTCTCGCGACAATGTTTGGTAATTTTCATAAAAATTGTCATCCACTTCATCTTTGCCAAGAGAGGCCAGCACAGGTTCACTGGCGCTCAATGTGGCCACTCTAGCACCAGGATCCAGCCAATCATACGCATAACGATATTTGTTATCTGAAGAACTCCTACTGTTCTGCAGCTTTTCATAAACTCCGTTTGCTGGCCGCACCCGTGGAAAAGTGTTATTACCGGTGTCTATATTTAGAAAGGCTTGAGGTGGATTCATAGTTTCATACACATCTTCAATATACGCGCACGTGCATTCCCGACTGGCTTGAGGTGCAGTCATAGTTTCATATGCATCTTCATTATACGCGCATGCATATTCCCCACTGGCTTGAGGTGGATTGACTGGATTCACAGTTTCATATGCATCTTCAATATTTTCAGGACAGCAATATTCATCCTCTGAATTACTCTCAACGTGTGTAGGTTCCACTTCTGTATCGACTGTTTCAGCAGTTTCTGAGCGTGCTTCGCTGCTCGGGAATTGAAAGATATCTACTTCACAGTATAGAAGGCTGCGCCGCTCGTTTTGACCGTGTGGTACTTCCACTGTATAATTTTGTATGTTTCCCGTTATTTTTCTCTTGCAATACTTAAACAAAACTACTGTAAATATACCAAATAGGAGCGACAACAATACGACAAGTAAAACATGCGCCCAATCGTCAAAAAACGTTTGAGTATTTTTACTTACGTTTGATTTAATCGCATGCGATGGAGAACTTGTAGACGTATTCGTTTGAACGGAATCAGGAACACGTACAACCAGAACAAGTGTGAATAGAAGCTTTATAAATTGACTAAAAGATTTCAGCATTGTTTAATTGTTTTGTCCCACTTACTTTCTTTTAGATGTTTTCATCAAGACTGATTAGACACCAAAAGTGCGAGCTGTTATCTCACTGAGAAAATCGTGTTTACAATGGGTAATCACGATCTTTACCGGTTACTTACGCACACTGAAAGCGGTGACACTTAACACTGCTACTGGCTGTCACAGTTGAGCCTGGCGGTTTCACTGATCTCATAGTGCAGTACTACATTATCAGTGCGTGGGCGAGTCTCGATCACGTATACAAAGTTTTGCTGTATTTTTTACATTGAGCCAGGTTATTTATCCTTTGCGGACGTTGTGATGGCTATTCAATACGGGCGATAGTCTTGCAAAGATAACGTAGAGATTTCTTTTGTTATTCCGCATAGGCTGAGTACAGGATACAGTAAAACCCCGCATATGAGAACCTAGATTTTCCAAGTAAGCCTAAACAGGTTCTTATGTAAATGGTGCTTACCAGGAAATTAGGCTAAACAGGTTCTTATTTTCTTAAAAGAAAAGCGAGTCATTTAGGGAGATTGACTCTATTTGATAATATAAGAATCTGTTTGCGGAAATTCTAGCCTGAACAGGTTCTTATTTAAGTCTAAATAAAATATTTTAGCCTAACAGGTTCTTAAATTCTAGGTTCTTATATATGCGGGGTTTTACTACTGTAATAGACATTTTTCATAATGCTTTCGCATTTCCCGTAAAGGTGATACCCAGGCAAAATTCATGGAACATCACCTGCAATGTGAATTCACCCTTCCATTCCGTACTCAGCCTTGCCCGGCTATAGTTTTCGTGATTGACTATGCCTAAATGCAGTGACCAAATCTAGTATATATCGCACTTGCATTCCTAAATGGATGGATAATACTGAAATATAACTGACTCTCTACGACAAGTGATATTTATATCTGTGAGATTATAGAGTAATATTATAGGGGGAAGATGACGGGTTTTTTCCAAACATCATTTTGCGATAATGGGGGCTTGAAAATATTTTTCCATACCGTTTTCGACCTCAATTTTTCAGAATATTCCTTAATATTCAACACGTTCCGCAATTCCAGCATTCCGGGGCCCCCTCTGGGGAAGTTGGGCCCTCTTTCTTGACTTTTCTTTGGGGTGTGTTACATCCCGTAGTTCCGGCCATGTACGTCACCTTTGACAGCTTGGATTACAAAATAAAACAAATATTTTTCAAAAACTTTTGAAGATTCCTCATTCCTTTTCTATTACATCACGTTTAATTTCCCTCCGATCAGTGCAACTATTAAGGCAACCTCGTTCCCAGGGTCTCTCCTTCCCAAAGAAAGATCCTGGGTACGAGGTTGCTATTAAGGTTTTTGATTAATTCATCAATTCATGTTAATATATTATCATAATTTTGAGTGCTAAACTCCCCTTGAAACTGTAAAATTTGATGTCGCTCTTTAACATCTTTCATAAAACGTTAGTCGTTACCGTTGTTGGAAATGTATTGCAGTAACAACACTATTCCCAAAATCACAGTTTTTTTTAGTTCTAGTTTTATTTTACACAACCTCATCCACAAGGCCAGCATGGCTGTCTAATCTCAACTAACTACAAACCTGTCAACTTACACATATGTTTTTCAACCCCGATTAAATGTCGTCATCTAGAATTCTCAACACCGTGTTTCCACAGTAACATAATCAAATGTCCGTTTCGTTTTCATTTTCAAGACTTTCTCGCAACAATATTTGATTATTTTCATAAAAATTGTCATCTACTTTATCTTTCTTGAGAGGGTTCACAGGCTCACTGGAGCTCAATGACAATGTAGCTTCCTTAAAACCAGAATCCCGCCAGTCATAATCGCGTGGAACTTCATAATCATCTTCGTTCCTATAACCGGTGCAGTCTACGTTATCTTTGTTGAGAGGGGTCACAGGCTCACTGGAGCTCAATGTGGCGTCCTTAAAACCAGAATCCTGCCAGTCCCTGGTGTTTTGTGGGTAGTCATAATCGCGTGGAACTTCATAGCCGTCTTCCTTCATGTAACCGGTGTTTATATTTGTATGGTCATACGCGCGCGCGTATTCCCCACTGGCTTCAAGTGGATCGACTGGAATCATATTTTCATATTTATCTTCAATACTATCAGGATAGCAATATTCATCATCTGAATTTCCCTCAACGTCTGCAGTTGATCTATCCACTTCTGTCTCGACTATTTCAGACGTCTCTGAGTGATGTTCCCAATCCTTTCTCGGAGATTGAAAGGTATCTGCTTCACAGCATATAGGGCTGTTTTGACCGAGTGTAGGGGTCGGAGAAACTGGTTGTAGTTCCACCGTACAACTTACGTTCCTACCAGACGTTCGTCTCTTGCGATACTTGAAGAAGACTATTGTAAATATAGAAACAAGGAGCACTATCAATGCGCCGGCAGCAACAAGTAAACCATGTGCCCAATCGTCGAAAAATTTTGTTGGAGTAGGCGCTTGTGTCGTCGAGGAGCTCGTTGAGTTTGATAATGATCTAATGAGCCGCGGCATGGTCTTTGATTCCGGCGTCTTCTTTAGATTAACTAAAGAATCCTGTTTCATTGCGACATCATTCGTTTGAACGGAATGAGCACCAGCGTTCCTCATCTCTTGTTCTAGGAATTTCACGACGTCCGAGTAAAAGCAAAAATACACAAATGTATAACAAGACTTTATTTGCGTTTGCGATGTAGTATTATTAAGGAGTTGAACACACTCTGCACTTTTTGTTGAACTTCGATTAATATTAACACGAAAGCATTTCCTTCTTGATTTAGGGATCTTCTCCGTTCTTGCACCGAAATGTGGACCGCATTTTGACAAAGTCATTGTTTTACACGTTTGCTTTAATTGAGCCAGTTTCTCCATATCGTTGACACATTTGGTTGCACACTTCGCAGCATTCCTAGATTCCTTCGGTTGACTGACGCTGATACGTGCAACCAGAATGAGTATGAACAAAAACTTTGTAAATTGATTTAATGATTCCAGCATTGTTTTGTCTCACTTCGTTTCTTTTGTCATTTGTTAAGATGTTTTCTTGAAGACTGATTAGACACCAAGTGCAAGCTGTTGTGTTATTGAGCTTTTTTACATAGGCGGATCTTGTTTATATCTTTATGTGGGATGGGGGATGCTGGCAGGGGGGAGATGAAAGTTTATTTCCAAGTTTCAAACCGGATATTGTGAACATAATTATATTGACTCACGACGAAGTACACGATGATCATGGCAATTCCAACCAAGGATGCATACCAGAACGCTTTTACAAATACCAGGATTTGGGGCATCTTACTTGATAAAACCTTTAACATTTTATAGAAATACCGTATATTCGACTCGATTGACAACACTTCCTCCACCTTACGCAGATATAACATGCATTTAAGTCCGGTTCACCCCTTTTGTAGGGTTTTCTCCTCCCACCGTAAAAAAACGAGTGGGAAATAGCTATATACTATTCAGTTCATAAGGTGTGATCATTGAAGATTTTCAGTTATGCCTCACCTCAATGTTACTCCTGTCACCTCAATGTTACAGTACGAGGGATATTTTTCCATGCACTCGGAAATTCTATAAAGACGTCTTTTAGTTTTAAATTTCAATTACATTTCGTCTGTTACATTTTTTTCATTTACAGCGCCTCGGTATAAGTCCTGTACAGTACTGATATCAAGAAAACAAAGAAGCCATATATACAAGGACAAGGTATATTTGTTCATTCCAGTACTCGAGTAGTTCACCCCCCTCCCCCCGGTTGCGTGGGAATGTACTCGCCAATATGAAGGACGTGTTAGGCTGAACGTGATGTTTATTTCCTAAAACCCAATGATAATATAAACCGCAAACATGCCATGATTGCATAAAGACCATTTTCTATGTGATTTTATTAAAATAGTAAACTCCACCCACACATTCATAAAATAGTATCGCCACTGTGTATAAAGTGGATTTCGTAAGTTTCATTTTAATTACCTTTTACAGTTTTTGTGTTTTGCGTTGTGAAGTATTAGAGTGATCACACGTCATTCACTGACATTAGCCATGCATGCAGACCGACTTTGTTCAATACACTGAATGTAAATTTTTGAACATTCGCTGCTTGTAATTTTAGTAATGATGTTTTCCAGAATTTTAGAGGTGAATTACAGCCTTAAAATTCCACCACATACAACGCAAAAAGTACACATAAAAAAGTATCTCAGAAACCCGACAGCTTTATTTTTATTTGCTAGTGATGCGGGAAGGGTATGCATGCAATCCAATTTACAACCAGTTTTCTTCACAAAATATTTGCAACAGCTATGTAATATTCAGGTTGATAATTTTAAAGACTTTACAATACCATCAGACCAACAAGAAAATTTTTTCCATTCTTTAAAGAATTTACTACATGGATATTTTATTAAATACTGGAAAGAGCAGATTCAACAAGGTGGTAATAATGGTAAACTAAGAGTTTACAAAAACTTGAAAATAAACTTCGGTTGTGAAAGGTATCTTTATTTAGTCCAGAATTTCAAATATCGTCAAGCTGTTACAAAACTAAGGACTCAGCACGTAGATTACCTGTTGAAACTGGTCGATATAACAATGTTCCATACAATGATAGGCTATGTAAACATTGTGACATAAATGAGATTGGAATACTTTCTAATGTCATGCAGAAATTCTAAATTTATTAGTCTTAGAAATACTTTTATAAATAATTTATGTAAAATGAATCGTTCTTTTTGTTTGTTCACTCAACAAGATATTTTTTAGATATATTATGGCTGGCCAAATACTGTTACGATATTTTAGCAGTTTTTGAAAGTTTAAATTAGGTTATTAGTAAAATTGTTATATTTTTGTATGTAATGTAATGGTATGTATTTTTTATGTATGTATGTTTTACGTCACACATAGTTATGGATATTTTTGTCCTTTAATATAGTACACACAAGGTAATTTTCTAGTATTTTCTACGGTCGGCTATTGGCGATGCTTCCGTGAGGAATATGTCATCAAAATTTCCAACGTTTCTCAAAACAACTTTTTTTGCATGAAATATTGATAATTTTAGCGCTTTTTTTTTAAACTTGAGTCTTTTAATGCAAGCTAGGCGTAATAGTATAAATGTATACGTATATAGAACAGGTATGGTATTACGAATGTAATTTTTCTATTCTGCAAAGATGATAACTATCGAATTTTTCCATGTTGTTTACTGAGAAACCTCAAAGCTGCAACCCCCCACCCCCAAACGAACATATGACGTTTCTCGTGGAAAAAATCGATATGTGAGGCTTCCCTAATGTAGTGGTAGATTTTTTATGTATGTATCTTAATATACCCAAAACTGGTATTTTGTTGTTGATTAAATATATATTTAAAACTTTATTTATTAAAGACGCAGCCCCATCAGCAAAAGTTGGTTTCAACTTTCAATGGGGGCGTCCGGACTGCACATTTATATAAAACATTGACAATTATACAAAACGCACAACCTCGAACACAAACAATAATTATTAACGTGAAACAAGGTCGGCGTGTGACGCAGTTAATGGCGCTTATTACTCCGGCAAACTAGAAGATTTTCTCGTCTTTTGTACAACGAAGCCATGAGCGGATGTGTTTGGGAAGAGATTATTTCGCTGGCCTCAAAGTGACAAAACGTAACAAAGCAACGGTTTTACTAACACTAACCCTACTCCAAATACCAACTCTAACCCTAACCTTGATCCTTACGCTAACCTATAACCCTACTCCAAATTGGTTTCTAAACCAATCTTGAAGAAAAAAGTTTTGACGAAATGTCATTCTGAGGTCAGCGAAATTGTTGATGCCGTGTGTTTGTGGAGGACTCGACTTGCTCCTGTACGAGGCTTGCCATGACAAGTGCCAAGTGGTGCTACAAATTTGCTGAGCAGAAATGTTTTTAAACATCAAGCCCTGTATAAAGCTCCACATATATTCTTTGTTTTAACCTCCTCAAACTGGACTAAATCCATACAATGGACAATATACAACAACTTTTCTTCACCATTTCACCAATTTATTTGAAGAAGTTTGTATAATAAATACGAAATCATAGTCAAGTCTGTGGCGGATGCTGCATCAGCAGTATGCAAAAATATTCACTGTTATCACAATAAAGTGACCAAAATTTATCATTATTTACTAATGTATGAATTGGTGAAAATTTTACAACTGAAAACAAATACTATTAATATGAGGGATGCCGCGAGTGCAGGCGTGCAACGGATGTACCCTTTTCTTTTTGTATTCACAACTTTCTGCGTGCAATGCGGGTGCAGACTATGGCCTGGCCTGCTCGCAGGCTAGACTATGGGCTATGGGTGCAACAGATGCACATAAGATTCAACACGAACAGATTATTTAGGTAAATTCCTTCTGTCTGCATTGATTTGTTTGGTTTTGATTTTAAATTACGTTTCAAAAAGGCAAGTGTCCCTTGATTTCTGCTTGTGCCCTAAAGTTGTTAAAAATTATACCCTTTTGATAATACATTGCACCCGTTGCCCTCGGCAATTTACGGCATCCCTCAATGCTACTGTACAAGACTTGTAACTTGGTGCAAGTCTTCATTAGAAAAAAATTAATAAACAAATTACTTATTTTTATACAAGCTTTCATTCTATGCCCTATGCTTAAAGATTGTCATTCACAGACTGATTTTAGGTTACCAAGAGTTCGACTCTGGCACATTTGTCCCCAAGTTAATTTTCCTTATTCAGTGGCACCGCCAGGATTATATTTTGGGGGTCAACAACCCACGCAGCCCCAACTCTCCTCCCCCAGCGGCACCATTGCCCTTATTAACATTGTGATGATTTTCTTAATTATACCTACAATCGGTTCTAATTAAACTTCAAATTATCCTATCCTAACAACAATGAAGCACTTTAACAATGCTGGCAAGTTTCGACCTTGCAAAAACACACTTTTACCCTCACTACTTATAATTATGTTCAACTTGAGGGCCTAATAGAAAACTAAAGTACGACTGCATACTTATATTCCCATGGTTCACATACACATTTTTAAAATGTCAAAAATCTTAAACTACACAAATAGCAAACAGAATAGTTATAAATATAAGTACAAGGTTGGCCAAGAACAAGGACGAGGTGCTGGAAAAGGTCAAACATATTGCATCAACATTGATCTCACCAGGAACAAAACGAGCACTGAAAATAAAGAAAATTATGCAAGTTATGGCACCAACTCCTTAACAATCAACCCTTAAGCCCTGGTCAAACAAGGCTGAGGTTGATGAGAATTGAAAAGCGAGAGTTTGCATGAGAGTTTTCTCAACTCTCATGCCCTGGTCAAACGAGAAAAAGAGTTGCATGAACGTTGATGAGAGTTGACTGGATATTACTGTGCGCCTAGTGAAAACTCTCATCAATATTTGAACCAGTTGAAAATTGAGGAGATTTGGGGGTCAAACGAGAGCGAGAATTGCAACTTTAATCAATTCTCATCCTCGTTTGACCAAGGTTCACCGTTGCCAAGTAAAATCGATTGGTGTAAGACAAAGTAAAATAACAAATTAGGGAACATTGTATTTGATGGGTTAACAACAAGTGCTTTGGTTTAACAATTGGGCTTTTACCTGTACAATAAAGTCTAATTATTCGGAGACCCTAAATGGGCAAGGCGCAAACGGGGCTCGAAGAACCATGCAAGGCACCTGCCCAAACTTAGTAAAAATTTACTGTTCTAATTGAAAATCTATACTGTTCTAGTAAACCTCGGAGGTGCATACGCCTCATAAAAATCACATGCAATGTAAGGCATGCAAGTAATTGGTGAATGCGTGCAAGGGCAGAATGGAAAAAATGCGAGACTTCCATTGTTCCCTTGCTTCCCCAAGCGTTTCAATTGCCCGAATGTTTTATATCATTCTGCATTCCGATCAAGCTCTCACATATGTTAACAAATGGCGATGTATATGACTCTTCAGTCAGTTTTGTCAGTTTTCCAATATATGTGAAACCATGAAACCAGTTTTGAAAAAAACCCAATATTTATCGGTTTACCAATAAACTGCCCCAGCCTACAAAGATTGCTTTGGGACACATTGCAGCTTAACCCATTGAGCTACAATGCGTCCCAGTGCACCCTACTAATTTTTTTACTTGTCTAACGCCAGGCGATTTTACTCATCAATGGACAAACTCTGCAGCTTAACGGGTTAGACAAAAAATCTGACAATGTCTCTAGTTAACCCATTGAGCCGCAATGCGCCCCAATGCATCCTACTTATTTCTTTTACTTGTCTAACGCCAGATTAACTTAATTAATAGATTAAGTTTCATATGTAGTGACTATGCTTATTGCAGTTACCAACTTTTATTGCTTTTTAAAATATAACTGTTACCCACCACTCAAGCTCATTAGAGCATCTTTGCCTGGTGTAGTTTGTCAGAAGTTTATTGTTGCGACAAATTGGATGTCTGCACAAGAAATTCTCAATTCGGATTCGGCACCAGTTTGGCAAAGTATGGTTAAGACGGAAGGTTGTCAAGTTCATGAACTGCTGTACTTCTTGATCATGGTGGTCCCGGAGCCATGCTGGTATCTAAAATATGGAATTTTGCATTGTTAATTGAGGAATGTTTGTTTGGAACTTTATGTTGGAACCTACTATAAAGGCTCTACAAGTAAGATTTATATCTGTGATTATATTTATATTAGAATATTTGTGCATAGATTTGTTTTATCAATAGATACCGACTAGTTGGTATTTGCCAGAATGTTTTTGGCCAACATTAGACAAAATATTTACTGTATTACCTTGTATATTTGGGAGCACTTATAATGAAAATTGTACTATATGGTGTACAATGTACTTTTTATACTGTTTATACCTGGCTCCGCTATCTTGCTACATATATTATTCAGCCCAAAGGTTTTTAGTAAACGCTTAAAACGGAAATTGTTACAAGAGAGCATAGTCAAGTGCTAAATATCTTTTATCTTGCCTAAAATATTTTACCTATTTATGAACTTGTTAACTTAAAGTCGAAATTAATTCCAGGGAGAATTAAAACGGTTAAGTAATATTTTAATTGTTACATTCCTGTTCGAATCAAAATTTCGAACAAATATTAGAATACGAAACAAAAATTCGAAACCACTTTATTGAACATGAATAAATTACTGTATTTATTATATAAGTTAGTTAACTGTTGTTGTTAATTGTTATAAAACCCACCTTTTCTTGACTTGATCTACATCGGCTTTCTTCATCGTATTGCACACAACGATCGAGATCCCAACCATCGGGTGGGTAGTTATCCACATGATCACACAAAAAGTATCGATCCCCAACGAATTTCGATCCGACAAAGCTATTACATGACGCTATAACTTTACTGCATTTCGACGCTATCGCTTCATCATGTTTGATTCTTCGACTGATTTTCAAGTTAGGGTAGCGTGGATCTTGGCCTTTCTTACACGTGGGGAAGTACTGAGCACAGAGGAATTGTTCGTAGGCATGTGTACATTGAGCGCGGCTATCCAAGCGAGAAATGTCTCGAACAAGTCGATAAATCTTTTCCATCAGTTTGTAGTATTGCCTCGATGAGTAGTCAGACACAAAATTAGATCTGGTTATATTACATGGCGGTTCGTTAGGGACACGTTTGCACGATACTAGATCACCCAGTTCATACCAAGTCCCTGTAAGTTGTTGGCCTTGTGTTTTACAAACCAAAACGCCAAAGAGAACAAGTAAATAAACCACAAAGCCTTTGACCGACGCCATGAATTCTCAAAGTGAGCAGGCTTTGGAATTCCACCGATATTTCGCCAGCAAAACAAGCGATATTGATGTCACACAGTAGGCAAAACAAATGTGTGTAATTGAAAAAGAAATCGACACAGTTCTATGTAGTTCTGACAAAGAAATTCCAAATGAAAATTCTTCGGCAGTAAATACTTCGTCCAAAAATTCCGTAAACGCCGTTTGTAACTTTTCGATCGGCAAATATTTGTGACGTAACTTGGGGGTGGAGTTTGTATAACCGGACTAAAATACCCACGGAGAAAGTCAGTCACTGCACCACTGATCTATATAATACTAAACTCCGAAAATGAACATTTTAATTTTCTAGCTTTTAACTATAGTCATCATTAAGAATTGATAAATGATAATGTATTTAATGTATACACATCACCCCCCCCCGAGTTAGAAATATGTAACATTGTACCTTAACCTCCATATTCATATGACAGAAATATCCTTCATTTTACACGACCAGAACTGCAATTCTCAATTTGCTGCATTTCGATCGCATCCCTCTCCAACGGACTCTCCTCATGACCATAGTCTGGTAAATATCTTGCTGGATTACTCCGAGCACTAAAACCAATTCTTAACTTAGAATGATATCTTGTTTTGTCAAATTTCAGCAAGGCTCGCTGTTGTTTACGTTTCTTCTCAGCGATCTTCATCCATTGGGACGTCCCGAGGTTTTGTTCAGTGAAATATTTTGTGAGTGCAGGACTTCTTTTGCGTGTTCCTTGATACATGTTGCGATTCACATAACCCATATATGGAACACCTCGCCGACCTAAAGGCAGTAAATTTAAAAATGACTAAAATGAAATAAGTAAAATACACCCTTCCAGAAAGTATGTCATTTTGGCTATAGAGCCTCGTTTTCGTGATTATTAAAGACGATTCAATTTAAACTCACATGGTCATATAGCCAAAATGATGTACTTTCCGGAATGGTGTATTAGGAGAGGAAACGAATGATAGTTCAAATGTGATCATGTCGAAGGCTTAATTGGGTTCCAAATTCCAATGTCTGCTACAACACATCTGCCACAACCGCATCTGCCATCAAACTCTTTACCCCCTTCCATCGAACACATAAAGTTATTGTTTCTTATTTTATGGAGCTCATAATGGAGCCTTGAGTCCTTTGAAAATGGCTTCATTGACGGCTTATTCATGTAAGCAAATTTTGACGAGAAAATCTTGCAAGTATTGATCAAAATCATTTGACGAGGTAGCATATAATATTTATATCTTTTATTACCCTGACAAACATGGGCGCAACTTAGATAGTTGGATGCAATACCTCGTTGTCGTACGCTGGTTGGTAGGAGGGCAGGCTCTCTCAGGTATAGACCAGCCCCATTGGGTGTGTATGCCTTTAGTGTCACAATAGAACCTGAGCCTGCTGTCACGGCAATCCAGCCAATATTTGATAATATGACGTCAGCAACACTTCGTTTCCAGTCCACTCCTGTTAACTTAAACACGCGTCCACTGAGCTCTGGGAATTCTTCCATTCGGGTTTTCCCGCCACTTGGTACCTGAAAGGTTACTCCGTTTAGAGATGGAAAGTTAAAATTATTTACTTCATTATGTTGACTGAGTATATAATTTTATGGAGAATAAAATATTAAGATAATTTCGCGCGAAGCGACTTTCGTTTGTCGGCACCACTTGTCACACGACAACACAACTCGGCCCAGCAAAGGAAAAAGTCACTTCGCTGCCTATGAACAAGCTTTCCTTGGTAGGGATGCAAACGTACGATCCAGTGTAGGTAGTACTCAATAATAAACTATTTTCATTTTGGTTGCAAACTGAGAGAAATAATTTAAGAAAATTTGGACAGAGACCGTTCCAAAACGAGCCTTCCGAAACGTCAAGGATTTGTTGATTGATTTCAGGTAGTAACATCCAGGACAAAACGAGGACTGAACTCAGTTTATCTTTCAGACCATCATTTGAAGTATTAAGAAACTGGATGGATCGTTTGAAGTAATGAAACTGGATGGATAGTTTGAAGTAATGAAACTGAAGGGATCGTTTGAACATGGATTTATTTTATTATCCATGGTTTGAAGTAATGGAACTGAATGGTGGAGATAAGTTTGGAGTGCTTGCACATTCAGCTAATTGTATTTGGGAGGATAATTTTACAGTATATTCTTACAGAAACCTTTTTCAAGTTCTTCAGATATTTATAAAAAAAACACGCTTTTTTGTCGTACACCATCAAGTTACGCTGTACGGACGGCAGCCAAACCAAAAAGGTATTTCAGGTTAAAAAAAGTGGCAAGTGGGAGTACGCTGATCATCCCCACTTATAGCTAAAAGCCGAATTGAATCAGAAGGATATAGCTGAACCAGATCAAGTCGAAGGAGGGACTCAGGCTAATTATGGAGCACAGCTACCAAGGGTTAGTTTGAGATTTCTGCCAACCTGTCAACATTCCCTGTGGTAAGAAACTGAAGTGCTTGGAGAAAACCCAGAATTCTGGTAAAGCATTGGCTGACATTTTTCACACACAAGTGTCGTGAGTCCGGGGCGAGAAACGAACCTACGATAGAGGTGAAAGGCACTTTCTCTTCATAAATAATAACACAATTAATAAAACGACTATAATTATGTAGCGAAAGTAGTATACCTTTAAAAGTTCATTCCCAGCATGTTTATCATAAAGACCGTCAGCCGTTTCTAAGCTCGTCACGTGAATAGGAAGATTTGGTGAGGCAAAAATTGTGAAGAAAATAGACTGTGAAGCCTGTAAGAGAGTGGATTACTAGTGATTGACCAATAATATCGGTATCAGAATTGTTGCCCACACAGTATTATAACGTAAAATGTACATATATTAAATTTATTATATAAACATAAGTGTTATATAGAGTTTTTGGCCACTGAGAAAAATCGTAATTAAACACACGTAAAAAATACGATATTTTTACGTGTGAAAATATCATTTGTTGTAAAACGCATTGCCACGGACGTTTTATTGTTTTGCACTGAATTTTGTTTATATAATAAACAGAAAAATACATGGGTGCTTGGAAATACCAGATTTATTTCTCGTGTTGAACATGATATCTCACTCGTTCGCTGTGCTCGAGAATCATGTTCAACACTCGAAATAAAGCTGGTATTTCCGCGCACCCATGTATTATTCTCTATATCTGCTATGGTACTGGGTCGACCAGAAACCTTAACAGGCTTTTATTTTTTAACAGGCTTAACAGGCCTTTTTAACAGGCTTCTCTTTTTTTTCTTAACAGGTTTTTTTCTTCTTTTTTTTTAGAATCGAGCCGATCAGTAGTCATTAGAATTATCTGTATCTCCGATTGTGTAAAAGTAAAACTGAATGTTGAGGGAATACACACCTTAAAAATTATATAGTCATACAGAATGGTTTTCATGAGCTTTGGTTGCAATGACACGTTGGGTTGGAAATTATCATTAAAAAATCAAAATGAATGATGTCACTTGGTCGATGGACATTATAACGTCATTATAAAAATTGTATCGGGAAGATTGTTGCATGGATAATCAGTAACTGGTAATTTTGGATGTTTGGCACAGCCGGTCAGTCGCTATGAATTACCTTTGGAACCTCCTCTTCCTTGCCATGATCAGCCTGTGACATCCATTTCACCTGCGTAATGACGTAAACATGTTGTTAAAAGTGGAAAAAAAAGGCTGGCAAAAAATCAAGCAGATTAGAAAATCACATACATCAAGATAATCCAGTCTTGCTAAGCCACCAAGAAATAGAACTTTGCCAGGTCTAAGGATGACTGTACGTGGGACAAACCATAATGTTGGGTTTAGTAACTTTAGCTCTTGGTTTGTTAAAAGATGTGTAATCTAAGAGAAAAACAAGAATATGCATTTCAACTTTTAAAGTACAAAGAGTTCAGAGAGAATATACTTTAGTTGAACATAATGAGGGAGGTTTGAGGGGCCTTCGAAATTTAAAGTAATCAATGTGAAACTAGAGATTGAGAAAGGATCTTAGCAATTATCACTTAACCCTTAAGTGGTAATGCATCCTGATGTGCCCTAACACAAGATGATTTTATTCATTAAGGGGAGAGTGCCACCACTCAATGGGTTAATTAAGCAGCTACATTATATAAAGTTGGACCAAGTCTGTAATGTATACCACCTTTATAAGAGAGGTATCTACTGTATACTATGGAAGTGTCCATATTAGGAAGGTACTTGTATTAGAGATTATCTGAACTAGAGAGGTATCTGTTTTGAGACAGGTGTTCATATTAGGAAGGTACTTGTATTAGAAGATTATCTGAACTAAAGAGGTATATGTTTTGAGATAGGTGTACATATTAGAACTTGTATTAGAAGATTATCTGAACTAAAGAGGTATATGTTTTGTGATAGGTGTACATATTAGAAAGGTACCTGTGTTGGATGGTTACTTGAATTAGGGGTATCTGTATTAGAGATGAGCCCATAATTAGAGAGACATTAGAGAGGTGTGTATATCGGAGTAGTTGAGAGAGGTATCTGTATTAGAGAGGTGTGAGTAGGATGTTTTGTCCTACCTGATTTTTGCTGTACAATCCAGGTGTGTCATATAGCCAAGAGAGATCATCATGTTGATGATCTTGTTTCCGAGTTACAAACTGCAGACGGTATGGAGACACAGCTGTAGAGACATTCTGAACTCTTTCTTCAATGTTTCGATATTTTGTCATCTGTTTGTCAATGACTTCATCACTAACATCCACTTCTTTCAGGTTTTCTTTGCTTCTTATCTTAAAATTGAATAATCGAGTCACATGTTTTGTATTGCCTGTTGCCAATACTGACAGGTTGGCCATAATCCGAACAAATCCGATCAAATTCAGATTTCCTATTGTGGCACAATCTGTCAATCACTTTCAAATGGCATGTATGCAATAATATCAATGGTCTGTATGCATAGTAAAACAGTTTTTTCTTATGATGATAGATTTAAAAATAAGATGGCCACTTTTTAATAAACGGCTACGAATGGCCTAAGAAAACATTTTCTTTAATACCATTAGCTGTTGTTCATCTATTCTACAAGAAAAAACGCTGAATTATCAGTCTATTAGCACTGATTTCAAACTCCATGTTTTTTTACCATGTTCATGAAAATAGGTTGTCACACCCACTATATTTCTTGGACGTCCAGTTTTGACACCCTGGCTAAAAGCCTGGGTATGGCACAAGTAAATCTGGGGTAACATTATTTCATATGACATATGCATGTCAAAATAATATCTAGTCTAGTCAAACATCTGTAATAACTCTCACCTCTGAATAGCCACTTTTAAGTCGATCTTGTAACCGGAGGAACCTGTGTTTTGTGACAGGATATCGCAAAAGACTAAGTGTTGTTCCAGCAGAAGGACTGACAGACCCTCTTTGCAACATGTTGTCCGAATGGCGACTTGCAGTAAACAGATCAACAAGAATATTAAACAATGTGGTCTTGCCTGAATTATTACAACCAACTAAATACATATCTGAATTTTTCTGCCAGTGTTTATTAATTGTCCTCACTAAATCAAGGATACCAAATCCATTTCTTGCACTAATCACAGAAACGTCTCGCACATTTGCATTTTGTAAGCCAAATTTCATTGCCTCATCTGACATGATTTTCTTAACACGTTGTATTTGATGCCTTGGATGACCATCCACTGGCAGTCGATCTATTTTATTACATACAAGGATAATATGCTTTGTCTCACCAACAATTTTTAAAAGATCCTCGGCGAAACTTCCAGGAATGTCCATGACATCAATAACATATAATATTAATGCTTTCCTTCGAGATATATGGGTTAAAAAGTTTGAAATTGTCTCAGGCAAAACCAGTGGTGGTGCATCTTTGTTGTAATGCTTCACACTAAAACACCTCGTACAAATTATCTCAGGCATAAAGGAGTTTTCTTCAGAATTCCTGGAAAGACTTGGGTTTCTGCTTTCTGGGATAAAACCAGGTTTATTTTCATTCTGGCTTTGTAGGATAGCACCACAACCTGTACACTTTGGTGGCAGTTGGTCAAAAATTTCTGGAAAGACTTCAATTCCAAGAAACTCTGTGTGTGGTAAAATTCCTTGGTGTGTGGTTTTTTGTGTGGAATCATTGATCAAGTTTGCAGTATTTTCATTACTTCCAACTGCAATTCGACCGTCTGTATATTCAGAAATGATCTTATTTTCATCTCTGATAAATTCGTGTTTATCTGACAAACAACAACATAGTTTAAACCATCTTTTATAAACACGTGCATCATAATAATTCCCAAAATGACTTGCCTGAAACTGCGACCAATTTCTTGCTAAAATCTTTGACCAACAACTTCTTTCTAAACATATATTGCGGTTAACTCTTCGTAAATAACACACAGCACGAGCCAAAGAAGAAGCAGTAATCCCAAACATATTTTAAGCCACGATTTTTGCAAATTTTAAATTGATGAAACTTTGAAAGTTGTCAAAGCGCTTGACAGTAACGTTTTAAACAAGTTAGCACGCTGTCCAACATTATCAACTGGGTACATGTAAATCCTTGTAAATCCATAGTTATTGTACCTTATCCCTTAATTAGGTCTTAATTACACTCATCGATCTAGCTATAATAATTATAGTAATTGATACTGTAAACCTCTAATTATAAACGCACATGCGTACTGTACACTGTTTTCATTCACTGTATAGTTATTATTATCAATACAAGATTCCATTTTTATGGCCATGTATTAGCCCATCAAAAATTTATAGTCGGAGCGACGGAGCTGGAGGTTCACTATAACGACCATATCATCAACATACATGCAGTCGGCGCTTTTGAAGTTTGCCACCATGTTCAGGCTAAAAGCCACCAATAGACTTAATCTTATTGTTGTGTTATTTAATGATATTTTATCAGGAACAATGGGGTTGTTAATCTTGATAACTTCATTTCTAATATCGCTCATGACTGAAGACTTTACTGAACAAACAAAAGAACTATGGAGTTTATCATTTGATTGTCCTAAAGTCGTGAGCTTTGTGTACATTTAACGACATAATTAAGGTTAATTTGTCTCAAAAACAAAAAAATGTGTGCAGTTCCATAATTTATCGGAGACAGTAAATCCCAAAAATCACTTACTCGTGTAAGCTATCCGGGCTGTAGTCTCTCTCAAAACGGTAAAAGCCAACAATAGTAAAATTTTGTCGTTACTCTTGTCTTGTTGGGCTCTCCACAAAAACGAACATGACTGGGTTTACTGAATTTTTTACCTTACTGGCTTACCCAATGCAAACTGATCGTTTTCCACGATTTAACTTGCATTGACTCGAATTCCTAGTCCTTTTCCTCAGGCTGGTCCTTGCCTGACTTGCAGGACCTTGCAGACTCTCGATCGCATGTGAAGGAATGTTAACCCAGAGCTTACACTGAAGGTTTATGGTTAATCCCTATTGAACGACAAGATAGTTAATTCGACTTAAATACTGAAATTATTTAAATCCCTAGGGTTAACCTGAAGCAGTTTAATATTTTGAACAGCGATTCTGTAGTGAACGAATCCGCTAAGCTGATCAGTAGAAAGATACTTATAACAAAATGGATAAAGTAAGAAAAAGCGATGTTCCAAGCCATTCCAAACAATGGACAACATTTTTTGAGAAGAAAATTCTTCATGACCCAACACACAAAGAAATTGAGCGGCAAGAAAAACTACTCGCTGACGACTATGACAAGAAACTGCTTAGTTGTGCTTCTACGACTGAAGACTTACGCCATTGGAAGACGAGAAGATTCATCGACAAAAACGAAAGGCAAGTAAGAAGAGAAGGTTATGGAGTGAAGGAGTACTTATTGCAACCATTACGAAGGGTTACCAGTTTCTCAACTGGTTATTACGATGATAGTGCATCACCAGCCAACAACGTGCAGTTGTGTAGACATAAATTGAACAGGAAACCAGCCAGGACTTCATGGAATTACCATCATGGTGTGACAAGTGTCGAGTGGTGTGACGAGGTTTCACAGGAGCAAAGAGAAAGTCTGGAAAAGTGCTTGCAAGTAAACGCGATGACTTTGAATCAAAATGTAGGACAGAGAGAATGACTATCAGACGCTTGCCTTTATCGCAAAAATCACTGCCAGTGCTTCTTTCTGAATATATCGGAAGATTGGTCAATCTGTATGGCTGAAGAACGAAATTTGTTTGTGCTGATCTAAGGCGAACTTTGGTTTGACATTTGACTGAGTCTTATATTTTGTATTTTTAATGGTTACCTCAATTACGATTCACATTAAGAAGGTTCACATTTTGAACTTTTGAAGTAGTTTATCGCACATGAGAGAATGGCAAAACGTACAAATTATTTACTTATTTATTATGCTTAGATTTTCATGGTTATTCATGACGCTTTCACGTTGTTTCAATTTTCAAAGCTAAACAGAGAACCGAGTTTATTAATTGCCAATCCTGCGCTAGTCTCTTTGGCAGCAAAAGGCCGTTTAATTTTAGGGTTTAGGTGCGGTCTCTGTCTGGTCGTACGCTATCCCATGCATGCCAAGGTATGCAGATATAAGAAAGCTTTACCCCTTTAGTAGATATAAAGGCACAGATTAGATGTGGATATTTGCTAGCATGTTGTTTAGATTTGACTACGAGTACGAATAGCAGTACAAGCTAGTTGCGCACCAGACACCTTGATATATTCTATACCGTCATTCCCAGAAAACAGGTAGTAGATAAATTATGCATCTTCTCTTTCGAAATCAAATCTAAAGCTAATAGAATCAATCCGAACATGACCACTATTCTGGCTGCCCTTACTCAAAAGTAGGGGCAGCCAGAACAATACGAGACCGATTATCGTGGTTCGATTCTATTAGTGTTCCGAAAATCTGGAGTGCTCCGAAATGGAACAGCCTGCTGGTGTCTGCCCACCGTCCTCAACTGCCCAGCAAAATTAGTTTCGGCAGCCCAGATTGACTCTCAGTCAAAAACAGTGGGCATATACAGGTCGGTGCCAGTGCAGGTGGAAACGATAATGGCCTGCGTGCAGGCCTGCACGCGGGCTAGAGAGTTAAATTTTGCCGAGTCATTTCAAACACTTATTAATATTTCTTTTCCTAAAATTGTTGGCGAACGGGGGATGGGGGAGTGTGCCGCGCAACATAAAAACATTTTCAGGACATTATGTGTTTCATTTTCTTTTGGGTTAATGGACCGTTGTTCGTTTAATTTTTCCATGTTTTCGTAAATTTTAGTTACAATTATTAGTTTTTAATCAGCGTCACTCCAATATTTTACTTTTTTCCTTCCTACCCAATTCACGTTTTGCAGACAGTGATTCGATAATTTGCAGACTACCTGACGACTGGGGTGTGTTCCACCACCCTCCCCCCCCCCCTCTTCAGCGCCGCCCCTGGCATTAGCCCAAAACATCGAAGTTCTGTTTTTTATATTTTTCAGGAAGTTAGTGTATATCCTTCTCCCCGCAGCTGTGAGTGCTGTCTGTGACAGGCAGTCTGTTGTTGCAATATGTTCAAGCGTTGCTACGACTGTCAATGCAATGCAACGAATGCGGCGTTTCATCTAATCTGTTTACATATGCACTCAATTCGGATTAATAATACCTTGAACAATCAAGTGCCTATGAAACAAAAAACAGTTGAAAATTATGTACTTCAGAAACTACGGTATGTATGTATGTATGAAAGTTAACCATCGTTTAGTGGTATAACATAGATTTAAGGACATGAATTTGAATGCATTTCCTCATTATTTTAACGTGAGGGCGTCAGTGTTTAAACTTGCAAGAGTTTGTGAAGTGGGCATAGTCGGTATGGCATAGACAATTTTCAAGTCAGATCAATGTCAAAATATGATCAATCATTTTACTCTTGCAGAATTCACTGTATTATAAAAGGCTATAAAAAGCTAGCTACTGGAGATAAAATTCACAATTTCTCAGTTGATATACTACAATGTATTTTTTAGGGTATTCATTAATAGTTGCGCTGAATCAATATATGAAAAGCCGGCGTTGTTGGCTAATTAAATTACTATTTAAACAGGTAGCCGTAATATTAGCTTTGAAAACGTACGAGAAATTATAACGCCACGAAGTATGTTCCCATGCAATAAACAGTAATCGAATCCATTGTTATATTTTGCAAAGCATTATTTTTCTCGTGTTGTAGCGCTTATGTATAGAGAGGTTAAGCGAGTGAAATGAGATGATTGTGCTGTAAAGAGCATGATTATGATGACTATACTAAAGCCAGGATCAAACGAGGATGGGAATGCATGGGAGTTGACATTCACGTAACCTTGGCTAACCGTTCTTAATGCTTTCCCAACACTATCATGTATTCTATTCAAGTTAAAACATAGTTGAAACACGCATCAAACCTTTGTTGTTTTGTTAATCTAGAGTTTGAAATGTCCCCAGTAACAATTTTGACAATTTGTTACTGCCAACTCTCAATCTCGTTTGACGGGGGCTTAAAACTTAACATAATCCAAAGATTAGAATCTTGAGAATTACCCTGAAATCATCAGTATAGTATCAAGTAAACAAGAAATAAAGTTTCTAGCAATTCATACATGCTGTTACTCAAGAGTATCACGTTATACGCTATCATCAGATAAGCAAAGTAAAATGCGAGGGCCCTAAATGTAAATGTGCATGAAGGCCATCAGTAGCTCACGCTTGCTATCATGTGTTTTCCTCGGTAAATAAAGTCAATGAAATGATTCAGATGACTCTGTGAAGGAGAACAGGGACATTCTCCGTAATTTCGGGGTTTTTAATGGTCTCGACCATTTAATATGCTATCCAGCTAACCTACTGTCAATGACTTGTGCATGGGACAATTGGACTGAAAGGTTATTTTTGTAATAATTGCGCAAATTAACAATCATGTAAAACCACGCTCTCCCGTTTCAATGTTGCTTCATGTGCTAGGAGAGAAAAACAATAGAACACAAAACCACTCAATTAAAATGTAGATTTTAGTCAAACAATATTGAACAGGGGGAAGGGAATTATGTTTCTCTCTCAGCCCAACCAGTCCACGAATTTTGCCACTGCATTCTAAGTAACAATGGAATGAGATGGCGTGTACATAATCATAGCGAAATGGACAAATAGTTACACATGAGTTAGTTTAAGATGTTATCAATCTGCTTACTGACCTAGGTACCAAGGAAATATTGTAAAAATCAATGTTGATCATAAGCAAACAAAAGAAATCTAACCAAAATGGCTTCGACTGATGAGGATGAGAACTTCCAAGACGTGGACGAATCCGAGACGACGTTACGAGAACTTGCCGGTGAAGAACGATCCCCAGTCGAGGAATCATTCTACGAATCTTATATCATCCAATCACGGACCGCCGTTGACAATTTATACGCATCGAATGTTTTATCATGTCAAAAACATATGAAAGTGATGGGTGATCTAGCTAGACAGAGGAAAGTTAAGTTATCTTCTCTCGAAAGAGAACAAAAAAAGCTCCTAAAAAGAATGGAAAATCTAAAAGAGAAACAAGAAATACATTTACAAAAACGATCGAAGACAAATGACTCGAAATCTAAAAGTGCAAAGATTGAACAGACAGAGACTGCTGACAAGTTTAATAGAACAAACCGTAGGCGCGGTTCTTTACCACCGCTGATAACAGACACTAAAGACCATACCCCGAAGATGGTAAAAAGTTCCGATCGGTTAAGTGTACCCGGTAATAATCTCTCTAAATCTTGCAATGATCTGACATCACTTTATAACAGAGATTCGCCAAGCCAAGAATCGACTCTGGTCTTGCCAGCAATCAAATCCTCACGATCATATGAAAACCTGTTAGGAACCCCTTTTATCACCCACATATCATCAAAAGTACACCAGCGCATGGAGTCACGTGATTCAAAATCAAGCTGGGATGAGAAAAAAATTAAAACACAAATTTCTACGAAAGTAAAGTGGGTTCCAAGAAATTAAGATACTAACGAATGTCGCAATATATTTCTCGGAAAATAGAATGTAATGTAAAATGTATTATTTGTGGAGTAAAATTTTGTGAAATACTTGCGTGTGTATTACGTCTGATTAAATATTAATTAAAGCACTGTTCTCCAGATTAAAAACAATGTCGTATAACAATCAAGCGGAAAGCTCGCCAGTTTCCTCCGGAGACCAACTTCTTGTCAAACACGGAGCAGAACATACACGGGAAAGTTTTCGTTTGTTGCAATTCCCCGTTAAAACTGGACTGTTGTGAAGAAATGACGAGGTAGGGTCTGGTGACGAGCAACGTTCGTCCCCTGATGAACCAGGACATGGCTGCCTTAAATTGTTCAGGTGTTTTTCAGGTGTTTCCATATCACAAACATCGCAGTTGGTGGGCGAATGTCTGATCGACGGTGATAAACAAGAACAGTGTTCACCGTGATTTCTACAGCAACTAGTCTCTAACGCATTTCCATTTATCTCGCTAGGGTTACCTATTGCATCATCATCATCATTTAGTTTCACTAACATAGAATTGTCACTCGATTCCACTCTCCCATTTGGTGTGCTCGGTTTCCCGCCATTCTCATGGGGGTGACTCACTCTGTCAGGTAGATGTTTACCTGGCGCATGGTCGTAAGATTTATTCATATCAAAACCATTGCTTTCCAAGTTTACGGAACCGTAGCCACGGTGGCCTGAAATTGAGTGAAAATATTCTTTAATCTTGGTGTATGAGCTGTGTTAAGCTTGATATACGCACAAACCCAAACTATTAAGCCATGTAAAATCAGCGATTAGCGACTCAACCTCGACCAGTACCCAACATCTCTAGTCTGTAATCTTCTGCGATGTTGATAGTGCTCTCTCTGTTATTACTATTATTTTTGCCTCTCGAAATGGTGGATTATACAGTAACATGACATAATATTCTCAGATGACTGCAAGAGCTGCATATATTGTCTTGGGGAATTTGTTTTCTCTAAAGCAAAAAATACTACTTACCAGGTAAAGACCACAATCCTGCAACTTCCAATGTTTTCAATTTGTTTTCTAACTCACTAACTCGTTTACCTAAAATTCTAAGTAAGCAAAAAGTGTGTCAAAATAAATGAAATCACATGGTCTTAAAATCCCAGGCATTGAAAAGGCAGAGGTCTTCACTGCAGCTTAATGCATACTGGTGGGTTGGGGGCTGGTATAGTTTCATGATTTTATTGTCTAAACCAACATGAAAATAGCCTAATGCATCTTGAATATTGCATCGAATTGCATTAGCCTGCATCATGCAGTTTTACACACTCAGCTAAAAAATCCCAAGTAAGGTGACATTGTACAGACTTGTTAAAAATTTGAAGATTGTAGTTGACATTTTCGTTAAAAATATTTTAGGCGTAAACTAGTTTACCTGTTTGCATTTCTTTGATGTGACAAAGCAAGGTTCTTTTCTGTAATCGTTTCAGAGAGAATGTTTGCTACATTTCTAAGATCAGCCACAGTTTTTTGTGAATGTTCGTTATCTATATAGAAACAAACACCAAACATTTCAAGAATGAAGTGTAAGGAACAAAGTACTGTACGGTTGCCGAAGAGGCTTTCGCTCGAATCTCCTTTGAATTGATTGGCTGACGTCATGCTTAACCCAACGCTATTCTACTTCACAAACGGCAATTGGACGACTTGCATGTTAAGGCCGATTGCCAACTCAAGAAAAATTTCCACAGACAGAAAATTTTCTGAAAATATCATCGGTAAAAGTTGAAAATTTTCAGCTTCAAAATTTTTTTCCGACGAAAAATTTGCGTCGGCCAATCACATTTTACAAAATTTTCTTTCTGCGGAAAATTTTCCTGAGTGGAAATGGCCTTAAAGCTAAATTTGAATCTAAGTAAAGAGAAGCCAATCAAACACCACAGCTAAAAAGAACATAATGAAATTAGTAAAATTGCAAAATTTGGTTGCAAAATGTTGTAAAGCTTGGAAAATATAGTCTTGCAAAGTTTGCAAATTTTGTATATGTTTGTATTACGTGCGAAAATTTGACTTAACTGCAGAAAATTAGTCATCATATAACTATGAGAGTGGCCAATCATGCATTAACACTTACCAAAAAGTAACTATACAGCACATTGATAACATATTTGAATATAATGTTTGTGATGTTACTGTGAGTGCATATCCACACCGGGCAAGCTTGAATATATGCCTGGCCGCGGTGGGAATCAAACCTACGGCTACGACCTTTGGAATACTATAGCGCTAGTACATAACACCAACACCAGGCCATGGAGTTGTGTTGCAATCAAATTGAACTTACTGTGTTTGGAATAATAAGCAGCTATTCTTCCATCGTTTCGCTGATGAAGTATTTTGTTCTTTTTCTTTTCAAACGCAGCCTGAAAAGCATAACGGCAAAATTTTCACATTTACGATGCATCCAAACCTCGCTAACATGTAATAGAAATTTGGACACTATTGAACCGTATATGAAAGGATACATGAATCAGGATTCAGAATTACCTCATATTTTTGAATTGATTCTTTTTCAAGATTTCGTTCCTCCTCCAGTAAGATGAGCTTCTCTTTTAAGTACCTGTTTGTACATGTATATCTGAAGTAAGTCTGGACTGCCTTTTCAAAAGTTAGAAAATGCAGTGCTACTCAACTTTTCAAGTTCTCCTAAGTTGTATTTTTCAGGTACTTGTATCAGGGCAATCAATACGAAGCTTTCTTATTATCGCCACTACCTACACGTCATCACACTTGCACAGACCATTCAAGACAATCTTCAGAAGACCTACTTGTTGTCTAGGACCAAAGCATCAACATCAACTAATCTTCTATCATCAGCACCCAGGATATAGTTGAGCTGCGTGTTTAATCTTTCCCATTTCTCTTTGTAATAATCTCGCTACAAAATCCACCAATTTGAAGTTATTACTTGCTAGACCACAGTAACATTTCATTTATTATAGTACTTAAATTCTTTACTCCAAAAATTGTATCATTTGCATGATCTATACCTCTGACACTATGTCGCTATTTTCATCTTTGACACTTTTTATTTCTTGTTCCAAGTTGGCCAGCTACGAGATACAAATTGAAACATCAATACAATATTAGACATTCTAATATACATGTATTCCAATATTAGAAACTAAGTGGAAGGATTGAAATCACTACAAGCAGCCCAGAGCTCAGAAATTTTCTGGGCCACTTGTGGTGATTTTAATTCATCAACCTTGTTTCTAAAAACCATCAAACCTGTTCTTTATATTCTTCAAGCTGTACAATATATTCTTCTTTTCCTTCACTCACAGTGTCTGATGTTTCATCACCATGGATACTGGAGGAACTAGACACACGTCTCATTCGCTCCCGCATGAGCTGGACATCTTCTTGAGACTCAATATAAAGTTTGTTTAGTTCTTGGAAATCATGTCTTAATGCTTTGTTTGCTTGCTTGTATTCATAAACCAACTGAGCCAGAGTTTCCTTGAAATAGGAAATATTTTTGAATATGTTGACAACCTAAATTTGCACCCCCAACACTTTCTCTGTCTCTGGTGGAGACCAAAACTCATATGGGGTTAATATTTTTCAGGGTGTGTACATTTCCACCACTGCAAAGCATGTCAATGTGGAACCTATCACAAACATTTCAGCATGCACAGATAATGTGACTTCCATGAGAGAATTCTGACTTACAGCTTGGGGAGAACCCTAAACCCACTAAATGTTCTTCCAAAGTTACATACCTTTGAAGTATGACTACTAACTAAATCAGGACTTAGCACACGTTCTGGCGGTTTCTCTTGCGTTGGTTTCTTGCATCTGTCCAGATCTTGTTGCTGCAAAAATATTTTACATTCTTGTTTGTGGAACAGGAATTCCAAATTACAATATTAAGTTTCTGGAGATCAAGCCAAAATTTTTTTGATTTATAAAGCTGAGAGCTACAGTAAGCTGAATTGCAACAGATGTAGCTTGACCTGATCAAGTCAAAGGCTTTCTAAGGGCGCTCTTGGCAGCCACCTTATAAATACCGGTAGCTCATGTCTGCACAGAACCCAACTATGGCAGAAAGGTCAGTTAGAGGTTAATCCCAACACAATTTGTCAACATTCCCTGTTTGAGGAAACTGGAGTACGAGGTGAAAACCTATGATTTTTGGTAGAGCATTGACTGACTCTTTTCATATGAGTGTCACGAGCAAGAATTAACCCTATTATCTCAGAGCTGAAAGGCACTAATGCTCTGATGATTGTGCCAGCAAAGCTCCGGTATCGTATAAATACAGCTGCAGCATTGAATAACTACCCATGACAATCCTCAGAGAACATTATGACAATCCTCAGAGGAGGATATCGTTGTGGTTTGTGTAACTTACAAGTTGATTGACTTTATTTTTATAGATTTCATTTTCTTTTTTTGATGACTGCCATTCCTTAGTTATGATCTTCAATGCTTCTCGTTTACTTTCCAGTTTCTTCTTACATATATTGTACTAAAATATGTTTCAAAAACATCATCTTTGTGTCCTTTCAACCTTATCATCTAGATAATTTTATATCGCTAAGATCCCAGTGGGTCATTCCAGTAAACATCCATACCTCCCCCACTGAGGAAATTTAAAGACCCCCAACCAGGGTCTAATAGCTAGAGGGCCGTGTTGGCCGTGTTATCGCGGCCAAACAGGGAAAAACACGGCCAGATAAAATTAATGCGGTTTCATCATTTTTATAAGGCTGTTTAGGTTCATAAAATAACAGACAGAATTTCTTCCTATTTACTGTATGTCGTAAGAAAGTTTGTAAAATCTACGGTTGTTGTTGAAATTGGCAAAAGTGATATCTGTGATGTTTTAATGTTTTGATGGATAATGCCGGAACTGTATGGTGTTAAAATGGTTTTAAATACCCCCAAGAGTTGCTGAAGTAAATTGCAAAGCATAGAACAACCACAGGTATTGTCTGTTGTTTGCGAGCATAACTAGAACCGTGAATTTGGCTGCATATTTGAGGTAATTGACATGTGCACACCCTGGTCATTTAGAAACACGCCCAAGATCTAAAATCCTAACTAAGACTCTGCCCCCAAACCCATTCGAATGTCTTAATACACAGATTATTACCATATCAGAAACAAATCAAGTGTTCACACTGCTTGTTCCCAACTTGTTGCCAATTTGTTACAAGGTTGTTGACTCAACAGACTTGTTACAATTTGTTCCAACAACTTGACAACAAGTTGTTAGTGACAACCCTGTAGCAACTTGATAAATTATAACAGCATTGTGACTTGTTGACAAGCTTGCTACAAGTCTGTTGCAAACATATCTTGGTGAGATGTTTTGATGCTGCTGTTTTAAGACTATTAGATCATTTGCGTCACAGGGAATTATTGGCTCAATCCAAATAAAATGTCTTTGCAGCTGAAGTACAAGGGTTTAGTAGCTTGTTGGGTAGTTGAGGAAAGACCAATTTAGTATAATTTACAGAGTCAAAAAAGCCTGGATAATTCATATTTTGGTATTTTCTACTGCTACGAGTTTATAAAGCTTCTTAAGACTTGAACATGTTGATTTTTTGTGTAGATGCCTAATAGAACAGTGTAAAAATAATAAATAACAGAAGGTCTGAAGGTGCACAGTTATGGATCATTGACACAGCTGGGAGTTAACTTATACATTATTAACAATATCTAGAAATTTATATATATTGAATTGTAAAATGTAAAAGGTTTACGGTCAGAATTCTTAAAACACTAAACCCTTATATACAAATATATATTTGTATTTATATTTTAAAAAATATAAATACAAATATATGTATATTTTTAAAAGAATCCAAAGCAACAAAGTGGACATTTCTGATTTTATGCACAGATCATTCCCAAAATCAATTCATGCATATAGTATCAAAGATGATAACAAAACTCACCTCCCCAACAAGTATTGCCCATTCTCTCTGCGTTCTAGCGAGTGCCATATGTGTCTCCCTATCGTTAAATCTTAACTATATCATATAACTTAAAGAAACGTTCAAAAACTATTTGCAAAACAAAGAAATACAATTATGAAAATAGAAATGTTATTATGAAACATGAAGCTTCGTGTCGAAATGGGAGATACCGCTGAGCAACAAGAATGCCAGGCGTGTCGAGCTCAGTGGTCGAGCTCATGTCGCATGTCGAGCTATATAAATGGGCTCAGTTACACGCGTAAAAACTTCACATCTTGTAACAAGTCTGCCAACAAGCCATCAACATGTTGTGTTCGCACTGCTTGTCCCAAGTTGTCAACAAGTTTGGAACAAGCTGTTAACAACTTGTAACAACCTTGATATCCAACAAGTCCGATACAGTCATGATATAACAATATTGTAACAACCTTGTGTCATCGACCTTGTAACATTCTTGTTATATCATAACTGTATCGGACTTGTTAGAACAAATTTGCTACAAGTCTGATAATGCCACCAAGCTTGTTACTCCAAACTTTGTTGCAACAACTGGGAACAAGCAGTGCGAACACAACTTGTCGACAATTTGTGAACAGATTTGTAACAACTTGTTTGCAGACCTGTAACAACTTAATTGTGCGTTTTTACGTGTGTACATTTAGGGGTACACACGTAAAAATCTCACAACTTGTCAACAAGATGTGTTCGCAACAGGTTTGTAGCAAGCTTGTCAACAAGTTGTAACAATGCTGTTATTTTATCAAGTTGCTACAAGGTTGTCACTCACAACTTGTTGACAAGTTGTTGAATAGCAAGACGATAACAAATTGTTGGAACAACTTGTAACAAGTCTGTTGAGCTCAACAACCTTGTAAGCAAGTTGTCAACAAGCCGTTGACAACTTGTCAACAAGCAGTGTGAACACATCAGTCCTGTTGACAAGTTGTTGGAACAGCATTGCTACAAGTCTGCTGTAGGTTTGTTACAACTTGTGCGTTTTTACGTGTGTATAATAGGCCGTCAGGGAAAAAGTTGTGACCAATGCCAGTGTCATGATCAAAATCATCAAAGAGCAACACAAAATATTCGAGCGTGAAACATGGCCAAATTAAAATGGCCTGCGTGCAAGTGTGTGCTAGCCTGTGCGCGGGTCTCATGGCATCGATCAAAGTCGATGTCACGAGACTGCGCACAGAACGTGTTCTTAAACTATTTTGCTTCGGGAAATACAACCGGATCGATGCAGGCTTAATATTTCCTCCGAGTTTTATACTTTCAACTTCTATTTCCGAGTTGTTAATAATGATTCATGTTAGTTGTTTTACATTAAAAATACTCCAGCAGCAAGTTTTCTAATTTCACGTTTTTACCACGTATCCAGCATAAATTATAGCGTTTCCTTGCCTACAACTGCCAGATAGCGGAAACATTCACTGTGTCATGAGCCAAAACTATGAATAAAAACAATAATAGTGTGAAACGTTTACATTGGGGAAAACTGGCTTTCCGAAAATAGAATTACGATAACTTAAGAATTCACACGGTATCGCAGCGGAAAATTTTCCATGGATTTAGGAAGACACTCAAGAAGTCTCGAGACATAATGCCTAAAAGAAAGGTGGAGTAACTTGGACTGAAAATATGCTCTTGGACGTGGAAACCTGGTGTACATAAGCTACGACATAGATTGAAAAACTGAGAATAAATAAAGGAAAGAATGCTAGGATAGATATCGAAGATATGAACGTTCAGTTCAATAAGCTATAGGCTCAGGGACGCCGGAACTGGGGGGCAGGAGGGGCAGCTGCCCTTCTTGCCTTTTGCTGGGAGGGGCAAGGGGGGCAGAAGTGCCCTTTGAGTTGTAAAATACTACCTGATAAATCACATTTCCAGCAATGCTTTTTGGGCAAAATCATGAGGCGTGATCTTGAATGTGACCTGATTAAGTGCGTTTGCTTTCTTTGGCAAGTCAACACATTATTGTAGGTTTATATCTTCACCGGGATCTATAGAGGGGCCCCTTTGGTGTGCGTTTGCCCCCCTTTGCCTCTTTATCGTTCCGGCGTCCCTGTATAGACTCCTTTGGCTGCATGGCAAGACCCAACGTGGCTGCTTGATATAAACTGATATAGAGGTGAGGTCTTTGCAACTACCTGAAAATATATAAGGAGAATTTCGATGTTTCGAGCAAAGGCACTCGAGACGAAGGGCCTTCGCTCGAAACGTCGAAATTCTCCTGATATAGAGGTGCCCAATCCGAATGAAAAGTTGCGTGACATGCTCATTGAAGCTAGATCGCCAACAAATTGTAATGCTTAACAACTTAACTTCCAACGATACCTGGGAAGAAAATAGAGAGGGAATGCGCGAACGGCACGAGAAATGCTAATTTTAGCGCGTTCGCTCTCTCATTTCTATACCCGGCTCATAAAACGCTTGTGAAGAAAATTATGGAGAACTGATGAAGCTTCTGTTTGACAGAGATACAGCCACCTGAAAAATACATGCAGAACTTCGATGTTCCGAGCGAAGGCCATTTCGTCACGACTGAAGCAAAAGCGTATGGGCCTCATACCTTCCGGGAAGGGGGGGCACTTGAAAGTATCTTGTCAAATATTGAAATGAAATGACCAAAATTTAACGTATTTTGTGGTATATTTGCCGGAAGTTTCTTAACTTTTCCAAGCATTTGCACGAATTTGGGGGGTAGTTTACCTCCATGCTCCCCCTGTCTCGTACGCCTATGTCGGGACAGTTATATAGTTTTATCCCTATCAAATCCGCATACATTCTTATTACCGTCACTATATATCAACACTGGTACAGACAGTTCGAGAGAGAATGAAGTCGGCCTGTTTCAGACGACTTTTCATCTGGCGAACCCAGTGAACTGAATATAACGTTATATCAAGGGGCGAATCTAATGAGTAATGTAAATGAGCTCAAACCGAATTTACATTTATTCGGCACATAAAAAGTTCGACGTCTGTAGGACTGCAGCATGTATGACAAAGCTCTATTAACCGAAGTCTCGAGAAACTAAAATAATCGAACAAAACATTGTTATACGCAATAATACGGATCAAATTAAACCGTTACCAACAAATAGTCTTCACCTGCACGCGCAAAAGACTAATTAACATCCCGCCCTAGAAAAATCTATAGCCCATCAGGAATATATACTCTATTATTGAAATATAAATCACAGTAATGTTATAATTTGCCAGCCAAATTGGTTTTCGACTTTTGCCATTGTTTTTCTGCTAAAATACATATGTTCTTCTCACAAAACCTGTGTACATATTGTAGCCATTTTAAACAATACATCCATCTGTCGTTAAATAAATGAACTGGTTTTGAATAAGTTCATGAGCTGGCGCAAACATTACGGGCATTTTGCCCGAGACTTTTATCCAACACAGATCTCAAATATATACTCAGCACACTGTACTCGAGGAGCAAAAATACTCATTAAAGGATAACCAAAAGAATTATTTGTGATCTTATGGAATACGAAAGAATTAAGGTAAAGTATATGAAATACTTCTTCAATTATCCTTCTTCATTAAAAGCCCACTTTTTAATACAATTTGTATGCAAGAATATAGCGTATAAAAGTGAAAACATTTTGTAAATGCATGCACAGAGGTCTGATACATGACAATGGTGCTCATATGTCATATCCCATGGTTTTTAGCGAGCCAAAATGAACAGATTGAAAGTGAAAATCGGGCGTATATAGAAATGCTTCATAAAAGTGTGATATTAATTTAAAATAACATATAAAAGCTTATATATGCCTAATGGACTAAAAGCAAGTTAAATTTTACTCATCAGTTCTTCATGAAAGAATCGTCAGGTCATTCATACATATCAACATAAGTAAAATTGTCCACAAAATTTGAAATGTAGATGGTACCGGTGAACAACTGGAAATATATTTATTAAAGTTATCGTAAAGCTTTGGTTTACCTCAAAAGCTTCATCAGCTTAATCGTCTGGGCCGGTTGTTCGATGCCACCTTAATCCTAGGTTGGCGTAAAACTGCGTAACAGCAAATTTCCCAACAGCTTGCATGTTTATAAACTTAGAGATATTTTTCAAAAAGTCTTGCTTGGATCAATAAAAATTTTATTTTCCAAAGTTATAAAACAAACGGACGTGCAGAAATTCGCAAAAACGGCGGATTAAAATTTTAATCCAGGGTTAGCTGGCGCGATCATGCTCTGGACAACCGATCCCTACCAGGTCCCTATATACTCCAGATCCCATGCACCAAGGAAGGAAACATGCATGCAGTGCGCAGATGAAACTGACGACGGTGAAGAATCGTAGGTAAGCCAACCTATACTAATATTCACTCACCATTTATGATGGTGTTGAGCACTCTCCGACATTTGGTGAATCAAGACACACTTATAATTATCATACAGATTTATCGAACATGCCATTTTTGGCGCTATATACAAATATATCAGCGACATAGTTATTACGTCACATCAAAATGGCTTCCTGTATGTATCTAAGGATTTTAACATGAAAAGTACAAAGATGTTTTAAATGATGAATATAGTAAGTAGGTCGGACAAATGGCTATATTAATGTTTCAGTGAAAATTTTTCATTAATGACATTTCCATGCATGCATGTATATATTAGATGTAAAGCATCTGCAATCGAAAAATCACAACAAAATGTTGCTTAATAAATCCAATGTTCTTTAAAACTATCCTTGTGATGTATTGACTGTAAATTTGTTTTGGCTTTCCCTAAAGCTCCCCAACAGAGTAAAAAATTGTTTATGCCAGCAAACATTAACTCGATAAATCAAACGGTGAAATTTGTCCCTACCTATATACATATGACAAAAATTACAATGATCGCATATAGCCGGGCAGAGTACAAAATTATTGTCAATGGAATCATTGTACAAATTAGTTTAAGGAACTCTTTCGATGCTTCAAAGAGAGTCCTCAAGCAATGGGAAACCTCTAGAAAGCCTTATCAAACGAGACAAAAATAAAATCCAAACGAAATGTGGGAGATAAGATAGCAACGACACGGGACGCGGACAATTCTTGCGCCAAACAGATCTGAAAAAAAGTGAATAATGCAGTATTTTGAGAGAGTATTCCAAAAAACTCTGATTCTCATCTTAAAACCTTTTCATATTGCAAATAGGTTGCTATTAACGTAGTGTTAATATTGATATAGTTGTGGCGTCAAATCAATTGAGGTTGTAAACTGGGCATTGTGGTCTTCTTAATTGAGATTATTCTTCATTTTGTGTCAGCATGCGGCTCAACCTAACGGAAACACAACTTTTATTAAACTTGATTGAGTTATTACTGAAACCTATATCGCTAATAAACGACGGAAAATTAGCGCGCTAAAACTGACGAGTGTGTACACAAACTTGCAAAGCATTTGCAATTATGTATGAGCCAAGAGGAGATTTAGTCTGATTTTTTTTTCGAGTGGCTCAACGTACTTCATTTTCACCACAAACAATCAAAATGAACAGAAAACGTCCCATACGCAGTTGGGCGCCAAGCATTAAATGTAACAATTTAATTACATTTGTTGCAATTTTCGAATCAGCTGCATTTGAATGAAAAGCAAAAACACAAAAATAGGAGTTTAGATAGCTTGGGTTTTATTTAATGAAGTATGGAATAGAGTTACTTATGATTATTTAAGCAGAAACCACAGTGGATTTGTACCGGTTAACCGCACCGTTTCTGGATTGTGCAAGTTTGCAGCAACACAGAAAACGGATTAAAGATACATGTGGGATTAGGCCAGTCGCGCTGGGACATATGGCGTTTCGGATTTAATAAAGTGATACAAACTACTTTCATGTTAATGATACACAGGTAGATGCACACACAGGCAGATCTGAGAACTGACTTGTTTTCGTTTTTAAAAAACATAAATTTTTATATCCTTGAATTCAAATCACGTCTCCTCTATGGCGCTATCATAATTTTGTGATCTAGACATCTCAGAATAAGAGCAAGCTTGAATTATTAATTCCAATTGAGTGAAAAAGCAGATGTATAATAGAACAGTTGTTTTGACGAATGGCAATTGTAGTCGTTAGTTGGAATCAGGAAAAATTTTATCAGAATTTGTATTCTTTTTAAGGTGCTATTCTATCGGTACTAATCTTTTTAGTATAAAGAAACTGCCGTATGACTCCTGCTCTTTTTAAAAAAATTAGTGTATAGTGTAGGGCTGATCTACGAAATACGGGATACATGGCTTGATGGCCGAGGGCTTTGAGTTTGTATATATTTATGAGGAAGCTTTTTTTATGCAAGCGAATATACATAATACTGGCATAGTTATAGGAATAACAGAATTAGAAAAACTGAACTTTTGAATATAGAAGGACACATGCATGCATATATTTATGTAAGTGAATTTTCGTTCAGAAAGCCGACAAAAACATTGATTAAGACAAATTTCGTCGAGCCAGGGAGCCAGTATACTTCGAATGGACGTAATTGATGTTATTAGAAGTAGTTTGGTAAAGCTAACGCATTCTCTATAAAAAATATGCATGACATTTTGAGACATTAGTGTTAGGAAAAACTGATGTGTTATTGATTTTAAAACAGGGTGGCAGTATACCTCAGAATAAAGGAATCTATAAAAAAACGCTTAATGAGAATAGACATTGCTTAATAACTGCACACGTTTGACATTATAAAACTTGCAAGGTATTTTTTAGCTAATTTTTATTATCCTCCATAATTTTGCTAATAAGCTATTCAAATGCGGTTAGATGAAAGGAGTTAGTTGATAGGAACAGGACTATAAGATCAATAATTAATGACTCAATACTTTCCTATCAAACACAGCATGCAAATAAATATTTCAACAGTGAATTTTGTACTAAGCAACCGTGAATGTGTACTGTATAGTACACGCTAATTTAGGGCGAATTTTTTGGGTTTACACTATTTGGTTGGCGCTCAATTAAAACGGACACATTATTGAGCGAAAATTTTGATTTCTTAATCACAAGATACATTTAGTTAGGCCAAAATTAGCGACGTTGAAAACTCAGAAACAGTAGCGGCAAATTTTTTTCACAATTTTTCAATATATATAATGTATACCGTATTATTTCTTTTATATTTTGTTATGTTTGGGTAATTAAAGCCGGGAGTAATTAGCATGTTAGATGGCTTATCGCCAATCAGAGAATATAAGTAGCACTAACGTTGACATAGAAATTAAATTCTAAAGTAGTTTCGGCAAATTTGCTCCGAGATAGCAGGGTTATCGGGAGAATCCGGGGCGCGCCACACACGTAATTGCAACCTGAAGAGCATTCGTTCTAAAAAGAAAATTGCTACAATTTGGAACGTTTTTCAAGTGGGAGAAAATCCACAGGAAATCTCAAACAATTGTTCTCGTTTCTGTAAAAAAAGGTAGGAGAATCGGTTACTGTTACTCCTTTTTACAACGACCAACGAACAACGTCCCCGCGTGTTGGTAATAGAGCAATTAAGTAAAACAACAATGGCAACAAAACGAAAATTTGCCTAAGTTTTCAAATGTGTTCACGTGGGGCAAGCCAATAACAGACAATCAGGGACAAATTTCCACATATTTCCACGACAAAATTAACCCGGCATTCTGCACGGACCACGACTTCTCCAAAGTTAAGCCTATTGAAATAAGTGCGTCTTAAAAAAATGCGATGAATTGACTGGTTTAATGGTCTTTATTTACTTGTGTGCGACTTGGGTTTTCTTTGAACTCGTAGACTCACACGTGTGCAAGCACGATGCGTTGTTCAAGCCTTTCAAAAAAGAAAAAGCGATCCTTTGCAATTAACATTAAAAAAGGGGCTATTTAAAAAAGGTGTGAAACTTTCAGCTCGGGGCGAATTGTATTATTTGTATATAGATTTCAAAGCAAAACTGTTTTCTTCTTTGTTTTTTATGAAAACTAGCTTAAAAGTAAAATTTTTAGAGTATAAGATATAGCAGCACGAAATTTCGGTGTTTGGGATAGAATTTGAGAGTGTCCAAACAATTGCAAATTAAGATTGTACGCGACTAATACAAATGTATGTGTGCCCGATAATATAGGCAACTGTAATTAAGTAAGGACTAAAATCGCCAGTGCAGGTGGAATTGAGATATTGACATGAATAGCTGCTTAAAAGAACAACAGCCAGATGTCTTATTTCTATGCCCACTTCTTAATAATCAATTGAAGATTTCCCAGCGCTAAAATACTTTCAATAGACTAATTATACAGGCAATACAAATTTTTGTTCGGCCCATATTCCGGTCAAAGTTGCCGAAGGATACTATGCAAGAGAGTTCGCCCAAGGCGAAATATAAAAACATTTGTCCCCAAAACCGGCATATTGACTTAACAAAACGATACACTTTCGTACGTGTGGCTATGTCTTATTAGTTCCAACAATTTACTTCAAGCTATACATTTTACTCAAGAGAAATTATATTTTAAAAAACCCACGGAAAAAGGAAAGTATCAATATATAGTGTAATGTAGCTAGTTTATAAATAAAGCGACTAAGAAATCTATACTTGAACACAGAGACTTGAACACAAGTTCAATTTTCGAACTGAGTTATAAATTCTGTGCATCACACAGACACAGTGAAACTTCAGTTTTGTGTCATATTAATATAGCCCATTGAGTATCGGATTGCACTTTAGTGGAAACACTAAAATATCGAAAATGATTTCCGATAGTTAAAAAAATATAGTTCTAATTTGTCCTGCTTTACTAGGTGAATAAGTGGTGTGAGAAACTATAAACTATTTTGTTTAATAGTATTTATATAATTGCCTTCATACATTGTTTTGTTGTCTATGGCGATATTGTATCAGGACATTATGCTTTATACGAACGAAGTACGAAATAATATTTCTTGTTTGCTTATTAAAAACTCCCGGCATAATTAGTTATGAATGCTTAATTACAAGTGGGGCAATGAATAGGAGCTAATAAACACACTATATATTCAAGATCTTGTAACAAGCGTGCTTGGGCACTCGTTGTATCGGCTAGCAACTTGGTATTGTTTTCTGCTCAAGGTCTTTTGTGACAATAACGCGAGCGTATTTTGTTAATTACGTTCCACTAATATAAAGGATATTCTACATTGAGAAACGATCTTATTTTTATCGTAGATGGAAAGCGAAACAACAAAAGAACGAGAAATGTCGCCTGAAATCAAGGAAGAGAAGTTCGATTTCTATGAATGGGAAGAATGTAATCAGAGATATAACACCCTAGGCTACTACCCTATAGCCTACACCACGCCAAGTACGTATTCCTCATCACAAACTGCGCTGCGATACTCCTTCGAGGAACAGGAAACCCAAGCCAAACCCAGAATGTCGTTCAGTATCTCATCCATTCTTGGAACACATGAAGACAGCGAAGAACAAAGATTCCATCCCGTAGCACATCCTCCGAGGTACGGCTCTGTCAGAGAGAGCCTGCTGATGAGACACAAGCCCTCAGCGTTTAGAGACTCCCACAAAAGCTCGCGAATGAAACGCCATTTTCTACAAGAGGAAATGACCAAGGAAGACGAAGAAAAAGCTTTCGAAAAAGGTAGTTTAAAATATACAATTCTTAAGATAGTTAAGCTGGTTTCAATTATTATTATAACAGGAAACGTAGTTTCATTTGCGTCAAGTTACTTCAGCTTGGAAATGCTATAACTATGAATTGAACACTAATGCATGCAGATAAATGCCAAATAACGAGTTTCCTAGTTCAGTAAGATGCGGCATGTCTGCTGAATGAGCGCAAGTGTTCGCTATTTTCTCGGTCGTTATATAAAAAACGTATAATAGTACGTTTGATATCCATGATCAGTCGGACCTAGCAATCAAGTTTAATAGTCGAGATTAGTTTAGCTTAGTCTAATGTGTTTAATGTGGGTTATAGCTTTTAGTGATGGAAGAAAAACCAAAAGAACCGTAGAAAATCCCTTCAAGCACAGGGGAACACCAACCACACTCTATATTTACATGCATGAGTTTTTCAAGCACAGGGAAGTCCCTGGCTAGCAGAACTGACCTTGCATGCATGACTCTAGGAATAAGGGATCACCGAGTTTTTCATACAGTTGAGCAAGCAAACCCAATTGTCATTAGTCATAACATTAGTGCGTTTTGACAGAGACCTTAGATTTTTTATTGCAGTAAAAGAGAACACAAATGCCATAGAAAAAATGCCAACCAATTCAAATATTCCGACATAGCTCGTAATTATTTTCATGATGCTATATTCGTTCTTTCCATAGACGCGCGCAGGTTCTGCCCATCCCAAATGGCGCTCATTGGGCAGCCTCTATAAACCCACACTTTCTGTATAGATGTATGGCACATTATATTGAATTTTTAGGCGCGTCATTTAGTAGAGGAACTTCACTATAGGCGTCATTATGTGGAGTGATAAACAACAGCGCTATACAAAGACCGTGTTTTACAGCGCTGCGAAATACCCTGTTTTATAGCGATCTAGATGGACTGAGAGCATGAGATTGCGATTCTCTGGGGAGAGAGTAACAATCACATCCTCGATTGTTGCATCTCTAATAAGCTCGCCACAGGACACCCGATCTAACTATTATTTTCCACAATGGCACAAACGATACTTTCTTTCAATGACGAAGAGCACGATAGTGATTTATCTTAAAACTCATCCGCTATCACAAATATAGTTAATTTACGATTTTCACTTAAAATTTCGACGCAATTTCATAATTTACTGCGCTTTTTAATCTCACCGCGAGATTAATTGCGCGTGCATTAGATTTGACAAAATTACGAGTTTCAAGCAAATGCGCACGATTTCTAAATAAGTGATTGTTCCTGTTCAAACAAATATTTGTTCGCAATGTATACAGCTTGCCTACCAAGGTAATTACGCTTATACACTGTAGATTTGTCCACCTCATCTCCTTGCACATTGTCCAAGTGCAAACAGTTTCGGGCAATCTGAAAGCGGTGGAAAAACTTTTAAAAATCGCAAGCCCTCTACATGTTCTTTATGATCTTTCAACAACACCGCGAGGTTTTTGAAGTCAAAAATTGTGAAACGCGAGCATGAAATTTATTCCAATGACTTCACTTTTGCAATAAACAATTTATGAAGACGCACATAGGCTACTGTGTTTTGTCACAAAAACATTAAAGACGCACATAGCCTATTTTGTGCACTTTGTACATTTTCACTATATAGTATATGTTTTCAAAAAGAGACAAGTGTACTAAATTTTGGCAGCAGTTTGTAGCTAGATTATTATATATTGCTGAAACTTTCACCTAATATAGATGTATTTTATCAGTTTGCGCATTTCATATAAATTTCGATAAAAATTGATAAGGTTCTTAGAAAGTTCGAGTAAAAAACCTCCACGGAGTTCTACGAGGAATAAATAAAAACTTACATATACAGTTCAATAATGGTTTAAGAGAAGCACCCAAAAAACGTGTCTGTGTTAGTTTCAAATTTAGTTTATACAGTCAGAGGGACCGTATCATAATTAGCTAGAATAGTTGTCAAAATTTCCATCAAATTTAAATTGAACACAGGTTATTGTATGTACAGCTAACGAAATATTTCCCTATGCGACTCTTCATTTGTGCCATGTCGTCAGGTAATTTAGCTGTTATTTACTCGCACTGTCTGCCCACATTATACAACTGTTTCTTGTTGCCATGTATATAGTTTATATATACACAGAAACCGCAAATAAATCTCGTAAAATCAGAAACAATTATGAAACAAAATTGCCCTTATTTGGCTTATAGAGTGAATCTATATATTCTGACTTGAGTATGCATGAAAAAACAGCTCTCATATATCGAAAGTGAAAAAATAAATCGTCTTGAAATTGAATATATATATGAACTAATATATACGACATGCAGTCTGAAAATATACAAAGGACCACTCCAAACGGTTTATGTTTTGTCTTTTTTAAAATTACTCAGTGGCATGCTGTTTCAAAAAATCTTCTGGCTTAATTCATTATATATATTTTTAATTTCAACACGACATTTTCTTCAGAATATTTCTCGTTTACAACTTTTCTGAAATTATCGGCTGGCAGTGTGGTTTTGATCTAATCAGGTCTTTTGTTTATGCTGGATATACGTGTCTGCAATTATGCAGTTGACGCGCGCGCAAGACGCAAATAAAGAACCTGAGAAAAACCGTTAAAAAAGACGTCGTAGAGAATTAGCAAAGTTTCTTCGAGTTAATTTATTCTGGTTATTATATATAAATAATAAATGCCGTATCCTATATATTAATTACGAGTCAAATGTTGTCCTTTTATTAGTGAATCAATTTCACAATTTTAATGATTGCGCATTTGCATGTTGAAAATGTCTCCCACTCCATTTATGAGAAAAGATTATAAATTAGCTGCGAACGATTTTCCATTCATAAAAAAAGTAAAGTTTTCCAAAATGAATGTTTTTCATGTAAAAGTTATAGATTTCTAGATGACCTCAGCCCTGGATTCGGTGTTAGGTTATTTTCAAATAATTTCTGAGGTGGGATTCCTATATACCGAGTCTATGCATGCAAGGTGATCCTTTTTGTCGAAACCATGCACACCAGGCAAGCAAAACGTATACTAAGGATTTGAACTCAATCAGCACAGATAGAATCATGCAAGGCTATAGGTAAACATTTCCCTTTCCTGGTCGAAATGGTGCAGTGATGCATGTGCATATATATGCCCCAAGCGAGAAGAAAATAGGTGTGTTGCAATTAGTCTTAGAGAGATTATGATTTATGTGTTATATATAGAACGACGATTTCTAAATGTTATATATAAACTACATTTTCACTTCCATTCATTTCCTCAAGTTTTCTTCCTGATGTCAAAAGCATCATTTTAGATTACAGTTTTAACATATCTATAACTTGATATCTATTATTTTCATGCTTGAAACACAAAAGCTTTTCCTTTCCTGACCAGATTTGTGCTTTTAATCAAGAAATTAAAACACATTTTGAGATCAGTCCTATGTTCTCGGTGTATTATCATTATTATGAGCTAAGACTTATAGTGATCTAGTGATCGCAAATGAAAATTTTTTCCATAAAATAAAAACTTCACAAAGATTAAACGATCAGCCGCGGCGGCAAATTGGTTTCTATTTTATCACGGGAAATTGTATCAATTAACAAAACACAATCTACTCAAAAATTATTAAACCGTAAACAATATAGAGAAATATATTCTTTAAAATCAAATAAAGCTGTGTAGTATTTAGACAACATGTACTGTACTTCTATACTATATATGCATGAAATATAGTTTTAATATTGAATTGTACAGACCGTGTTCTTTTATCTCAAGCGTATAATAATCTGTTCTTTTATGAAGTGGAAATCAATGATAAAACATTTGGTCTTAAATAAATAATTCGAAATCAATTAAGAAATGTCAACTTAAAAGAGCAGAATACTCAATGGACATATGTTTTAAGATTTGGCTATAATTGAGCGCTTTCAATTGAGAAATATGTTTAATATAGGCGTTGGCGCTGCTTTGGAAGTCGTATTTAAAGAGTTTTAAATGAAACAAACGGGGTAGCATTACGATTGGATTGCTTCTTAGACAATTTTTAAGACTTGACGCGTTTTTGTCACATAATTATTTCTTTTGTTCGCTGACATATCATATCAGCTGAAATGTGTTAAGATGTGTCAATGGCGATAAATATGGAAATAAAGTAGCATGAGAGATAGACATCTCTGCACGTTTTCTATACACTAGACAATATTTTGTTTGATGTAAGCTAACGTGTATGGTTTTGTAACTTAACAATACACGCGAGTACACATCTCACAGTTTGTCAACGAGATGCGTTTGCATTGCTTGTTCACTGTTGTACAAGCGGGGCCCAACATTGGCGTAGAGTTGTTTCAGTAAATAGAGTATTTAGTAGAAAAATATAATATGATATTCATTTTTGAAACAAAATTTGCTTGCCTAAATCAGTAAATGGTAGATTGTGTTCTCCTTTTATTCCTCTTTTCTTGAGTTAATATTTTCGGGAACTTGCGCTTGATTCGTACGGAAATTCGCGCAATGGCCCATGAGGGTTATCTCGACAAGTTATTTTGACCCTGTGTGCGATTGAAATTGACAGTTTTTTGTATAAATAAAAGAGATTTAGTTTGCTTCCTATACTACAAGTGTGAAAATTCTTACGTCGACCATCATCCAATACAGTGAACAACTGTTGAACCAAATAAACAACTGAAAATATTATTTTCTTTCATCACAGGAAATCTTCCAAATGAAGAGACAGTTTTTACCGGCGAGGAAGGCGACGAGCAGTTATGGAAACAAGAGAAACCGAAGCGTATTCGGACGATCTTTACACCAGAACAGTTAGAAAGATTAGAGAAAGAATTTGCAGAACAGCAATATTTAGTTGGCATTGAACGACGTTATCTCGCCTCCACGCTGAGGTTGACAGAAACACAAGTCAAGGTTTGGTTTCAGAACAGAAGAATAAAGTGGAGAAAACAAAGATTAACCAATCACTAAGCAGTGCCGATTTAAATAGACCAATAACAAGCATTACCATTTGCATTGATCAAAACGGTTGTTGTTTAGACAAACAATCACCGAAACTACGAGCGAACAAGTTTTGTTCACTTATGACTCGGGCACTTTGCTCTAAGTTCCTGTAAATATTTCACGTATTCAGCCCTTGCACATCACATCACATCACATCACACAATCATGACGTAATTGTTTGACTTCCACCATTTTGGGTGTTCACACCGTGTCCGCACAAATTTTCCAAAGTTTATTTAATTAAAAAAGCTCTTATTTTTTGCTTTCATTTAACTCGCTTATATATACGAATTGTTTCCAGTGGTTTCCTCTGCTTGTCTATAGTGCCCAACAATACTTTTGCAACCCAAAATGGCGGATTTCTTTACGTGACGTAATATTCCCGCGTGATTGCACGACCTGAATAGTTATACTTGTTTCAATAATGTAAATATATAGAAAGTCGTATGTAAATAGAGAACGCTTGGGATAGTAGTTTGCACATATATACAATGTAAAATAACGATATAATATACATTAAAAATAAAAAAAAACAATGTTTGCATTCTTCACATACTTGAAGTCTCTCCAACTTAATCAATTTTAATCCTGTTTGGCAACAGAATCCAAACGCTACACTGTCGTAGACTAATTGGGGACAAATTTAAGCAGTGTAATGATTGACAATGTAGGCAGTGTAATGATTGCCTCGTCTATTAAGCACCCTCTGAATGGATGATCAGCAGCAACCCC